TGCCAAGGTATAGAGGATTCAGTTGTGTAACACCACGCAGTCGCTCTCCCGTCAGGATTTCGACAAAAATTGTGGTCTCCGACACCAGAGCCCGGATAGTTCGATGGAGTATATACATGTACATGAGGGATTTGTGATGTCCACATTTGACAACCATAACCATTGACAGTAGTATTAACTGATCCCCGGTAATCCCCACCATCAGCATTTCCGAAACACTCTGATAACTCTGTGAAAACAGCATTGATGATTATTTTTTGTACACACCATAGACACGAATTGTGAAAAGACGTATCGAGCGGTCCGTATAATAAATTAGCACATGACTGGCTTGATAGTGAAACGGACTACGATTTTGAACAGTAATAGTCTTTTTTAGAACGGTGTTTATTATGAAAGACAATTCAATGTCACCCTTTCGAGCTTTGGCTTCCATGAGTCTAGATAAACTCCACTGAGCTTTCTATCTCATTATTACTAAATAAATAATCGCATATAATCAAAAACCATACCTGGAACAATCGTAATAGTCAACATTGACGTTGGTATATGTGGAGGAGCCACTGTGGTCACACCTGATAAAAATAAATTATCAGAATATATGATTTATATATTATTCAATGGGCAGTAGATCACCCTATTCTAATAATTTACATATAGTCTTTGTTAGAATGTGATTTATTAATGCACTGCTTCCTAAATTAATGCTAAGTGAAAGACAAAGACACAAGAGAATGGGTGGAATGCGAGAGAAATGAAAGCAAAAGCGAAATGAAGGGGACAGCCTTAGCGGGACATGTCGTACAGTTGTTCCACAAGCTGGTGTCATGGCAATGCACTCCATGGACAGGGACGAATCAAGCTCGACGCAGGTCATGCTGATGATCACATCGTACCCGAGTTAAATAGGGTGCCTGAACCTGTGACCAAAGATTGGTACATGAAAATCTAATAAAGCAAAACGTTTGAAGGAGAAAGATGACTTAATGCTTGGATGAAGACTCAGAATAGATCAAATGAAAAAAAAAGGAAAACAAAAAGGATTGTTAAAAATGTGTATGATACCGATTGAGTACTGGGTTGCCAGTAGCACTGGTATTGAATGAAGGATGCTGGTAGATGTCGCTACACAATCTGCCAAGGGTTATTCATTTTGAGTGTGCTTATATTAGGGCTGTTAGAGTTTTGCTCAGCCGCTGATGTGGTCGCTACGTTTACCGATGTTGCTGCAGTAGCTGAATTTGAAAGAGCTGCCAGGCATTTGTGAGGAAAGCTTTGGTAGGCACAGTTACGTCTAAAACTAGTGAATATCGAGTTGATGCGACTCGAGGTAGATCAAATCTACATGCTGGAACGACTTGTAGGTTCGTGCTGCTGAAGCCAACACGTTTCTTTTACTGTAAACAGCATCTGCGCTGAAAACGGTATAGCGATAACAAAGGTATTCAGTGAAACATGCATGAGCAGCAGCATTGGCCTGCTTATATAATGAAAAGATGTGAATGGCTTAGGATTAGCTGAACCACAGTGCCTCCGGCTAAACCATGTTGTACAGGCGTAAAATGCCAACAATTGTCGGATTAGGCAGCAGTGCAAAGCTTAGCATACCCTGCTAATATACGGGGTGTGAGTGTTACAAGTTAGGCAAAAAACGTAGGTCAAGTATCAAATGTCACTAAACACAAAACAAAGGGAGGATAGAGGTTAATAGGGGACTGTTCCGTAATAGCATCATTAACCTTGATTATATGATTACATAATATATCCATGGGATTAACAGTGGAATGATGAGGTAATGTGACGGCCAATGAGTAGATCATGATAGACGAGAATACATACTGCAGTCTTCGCGCGGGTCTGATACTTCACAGAAGTCCCATCCAATTATAATATTATCAACATAACACCATGGAGTGAGGTCGTTATCTGGGTTCCTGCAGTAATTATGATCACCGAGACCAGCATCCGGGAAGTTTTCAGGGGTTATCCAGTATCGATTATCCAGCTCATCCCAATTAAGGCAGTCATAACCATTCGCTGAAGTGTTGACCATCCCACGATAGTCTCTGCCCTTCGGGTCTTCATAACATTCTGTGAATTCTAGAGATAACATTTTCAAAACATTTTGATTAATATTAATTAATTAAATGAAAATATAATGTAGCACGATACTTTATAGTGAATATTTAAGTTCATATACACGCAAACTAACGAAACAAACGAACAACTAAAATAACAATCAGGCAAACTCAGAAAAAAAATCGTGTCACATATACCTTGCTCTTCGGTGTTTCTTTTCGGTTTAATTCGTATTATTAATATTAAAGTTATTACAGTAACAACAATTATTAAAAGTATTACACCAAAAAATATAGGGAAAAACCTATCAGGAACCACTCTCTGAAAATAATAGACAAACAGATGATGTCTTCCTAAGACATGATTCATATGATCGTATGATTCATAAATGTGTCTTGAACATTTAACTGTTTTTCGTGATATGCGTTTTACATTATCTTTACCAAAGATATTCTTTTTATAATGCACAAAGGGTTGTTTAATATATATGCACAAAGCAATCAATAACTTACCTTATTTACCATGATTTATTCTGAACAGAAAAAAAATAACACATAATGTAATTATATCTCATGTATTATGCAAGAACCATGTTGATTATTGATACATCCATTATTTAATATAGTTTTTAAAAGTAAAATTTGTCCATGAAATGTCACAAATTCATCGACGATATGCCCATATCTTTCAGACATTGTTCGTTTCGAAATGCGACAGCATTTGTTTTTTTAAGTATTGAATTGAAAAATTGAAGAAATATACGTAGTTAAAAAAGACTATCAGACATACAAAAGCCATTTTGACATTAAATATATGTTTATAGGCACTATCACCACTTCTTCAAAACTCAACTGGGCAACCCATTGGTCAATTGACCCATTGGTCAATCCTATACAACAATAAATGTGTTGATATATGCATAATACGAATATTCTGTAATTGCAGGAGGGTAAACATTAATGTTGCTAATTATGTTCATGGAATTAATTTAAAGTGGTCCTAAAGATATACAAAACTTGAAAAAAATAGTGAATATTTCGATTGGACCTAGAGCGCCACCAATGCTTTAATTGCAGATGTATGAGAACTCTCAGACAACTGGTTAATAGTCCCACACTTTTCGTCGTAATTCAGTATAAACAGATGGCTGTGAAGGTGGAATGGGATGTATGTATGTCTAGGCCATACGACCTTGGCATACTTCTGTAGACCTATTTTAATCGAGTGCAACCTAATCTTTTTTGCACAGACCAAAAAACACACTTAATGTAGATTAAAACAAATAGTTCTACTCCCCAATTTAGAACTATTCCATACAACACATATTAGTTGATTTTTGCTTCTTAAAGGCAAAATAAGCACAATATCACGTGTTAAAAACAATGTGTCTTTGTGATTTTTACCCAGGCCTCCACAAACGGCGGCTAAATGGGTGGAGGTGGTAGTCTGGAGGTGGTCACTACCTATAAAGTATAATGGTTAAGTGTAAACATATTATTGCATCAATAACATTTTCATAGAATATGAAGCTATGCCCTCATGGAAGGAATCAGGTATCAAAGTCCAAGACTGTAGGATGAGAGGGTATAGTCTGGTTATCGCTGTGGTGTGCCCTTGGTTGAGGTTGTCAGTAAATGAATACCTTCAGGGGAGGTACCTTATATCATGCAATATCTCCGCAATACAGACACTGAAACATGTAACCATCCTAGCCCTAGTACAAGTCAGCGCTATATGGTTGGTATTAACAGTAATTAAGTGTCTGGCAAGATAACATTAAGAAAATAATTAACTGCCCTCATTTATATATATTCATGGGCTTCATTGTATAACATACTTTAGGGCACCACAGGCTGCATAGTTTTAATGTGAAATTTACATTGCACGTTTGATGACAGAATCTGATATTTTGTCTGAACATATATGTCTATAAACTGCTGTACACATAGGCATTTTGGGCTTGGTGTGTACCATTCCAGCTTACCTAAACAAGTTTTACCCGGGAGAACACATCATGTTAGGGTATGATAATTGGGGAGGGGAAAATCACAGACTGAACAAGTATGTTGTCCCACATAGATGGAGTCGGCGAGGGTACCCTTCTAACAGTTGTGACGATTTACCCTAGGTTTCTACCACTAAAACATTTTTTCTTCCTGGATCTTGGCAAGGTGATACTTGGTTCAGAAAATAGTTAAAAAGGCAAACATCACAAACACTTATGTTGGCATTGCTCCCTACCCACGTTCAGGGGACTCCACCATTTTCTGATACCCAAATATCGTAAGGGCCATATGGGATGGTAGTATAGTTTTGAAGAAACAATTAACATTTATCTTGTCTGTAGGCTATGGTAAATTAGGTCATACAGGAGATCCTGGAATTCCCCGGCCAATTACTCAAATAACTACATTTTTTGTACATGTCCATCTAGGGTGTATTGGGGCAAATCGTCAGGTATTTCGAACATAAGGCTTTGTTGCTTGATAATACTATATAAGTGGTTTCTTACCTCAAAGGACAAATTAATGTTCATATCAGCATCTTGGATAAAAGGAATGTTGCATTGAGTGGTTACCCTGACCAAGCAGTCGAGAAGGGTTGCCGAGTTTTATTTTGGATATAGATTGTAGTTGTCTTGGCAATAAGGGCAAATTTACAAACGCGTAATTGCGAGGAAAACATTGGATAGAATTCCTACACCCAACCGCTAACCTTAACTTTAAGCCTCACTCCCAGCCCCCAATTTAATTGTATATGTCCCTCTAAATAACTATAGATTAATGGAGATTCCAATTACAATTAATTGGAGAGTGCTGAAGAGAATTGGGAGGGTTAGGGGCGGGGTACACTGGAATGGAGACTAACTAACATGTGCTGACGAAACTATTTCAAAATAGTGTACAGAAAATTCACTTACAGTGCAGAACCTGGCATTATGACTATGGCCGCCACTATGGTAAAGCACATGTTTATGTGAGCTCTATTGTTTCGTGCCAATACAGCGGTTGTAGGTTGATATACTCTTGCAAAATATCATAAATCCATCCATAAATAAATAACCAACGAAGTTTTAAAATCACTCAATCATGCCAACCAAACGCAGCCTGAGGAAAACTAGAAGCAGCAGTTTTGCTTATGACGACGAGTTGGATCAACTATGCGCAGAGATAGAAATGTCCGGTACAAAGAAACAACGAAAGAAGTCTAAGAAGGTCAGTGCAACTAAGACTAAAACCAGCAAAAAGTATTATGCAATAACCGTTGGGAGGAAAACAGGCATTGTATCAGACTGGAAACAATGTCATCAATCAACAAATGGATTTCCTGGTAACTGCTTCAAAGGATTCGACACGCTAGAAGAAGCGGAACAGTACATTGAATGGTACGCAAACAATGAGAAGAACAACAATACACGTATCGAGTCATTAACCGTGAGTAATTCTGAATCTGATTCCGATGATTCTATTACCTTGCTTAAATCAGAAGC